TTTCTTTCTTTCTTTCTTTTTTTCTTTTCTTTTCTTTTCTTTTCTTTTCTTTTCTTTTCTTTTCTTTTCTTCTTTTCTTTTCTTTTCTTTTCTTTTCTTTCTTTCTCTGCCACTGCCAGCAGTTCAAACCTGACTGACTCAAGGTTGACTCAGCCTTCCCTCCTTCCAAGGTGGGTAAAACGAGGACCCAGACTGTTGGGGGCGAGAGGCTGACTCTGTAAACCTGCTTAGAGAAGCTTGTAAAGCACTGTAAAGCAGTATATAAGTAAGTGCTATAGATAGATGATAGATAGATAGATAGATAGATAGATAGATAGATAGATAGATAGATAGATAGATAGATGATAGATAGATAGATTTCTTAGAGAGATAGATGGTAGGTAAGAAGGAAGGAAGAAAGAGAGGTAGATAGGTATACTCTCTGTGTGTGTAGAGAGAGAGAGAGAGAGAGCAGTAACAGACTTATATACCGCTTTATAGTGCTTTACAGCCCTCTCAAAACTATTTGGGTCCTCATTTTACCCACCTTGGAAGGATGGAAGACTGAGTCAACCTTGAGCCTGGTGGGATTTGAACTGCCAAATTGCAGTAGGAGTAGCTTGCAGTACTGCACTCTAACCACTGCGCCACCAAGGCTCCATAGATACATAGATCTATTATAATTGATTAAAGACAGAAAGACAGACGGACAGACAGATAGTTTACTCCACAAGGAAGTTTTTGGACTTACTTCCCTTGTGTCAGGATTCAGCCACTGCCCGGTTCTGTTCCTCTCTTCCCAGTGAATCTCCTCAAGGTCTGAGGGAATCCTGAGGCCGCTTGAAGGAACGAGCCGCCTTGGGGTTTCCTCCAAAACCTCCTTTCCTCCGCAGGGCTGAAAATTGTCTGGATTGTGGCCCTCGTCCACAGGGATTTGCACCTGTCGGCCCAGCTGGATGTGCTGAAGGCCCTGGCCCGCCTGGTGATAGCCCTGCAGCCGGGACAGGGTGAGGAGGGGAGACCCCAAACCACTGTCGTCCTCCATAGGAAGAGGGGGAACCGGCTTCTGCAGAAGGTGAGAGGGTCCAGGTAGGGCTGCTTTGACCCACGGCAAAGGCAGCGCAGGCGGCAAAAGCTCGGTTCTGGGGTCAGAAATGCAGGGAAACGTCTTTTCATCCGACGTTAAATGTATGAGGAAGAAATGGAATTTCGCCTTTCACCCTGTTCTTTTCTTCCTGGCTGATAGATGATAGGTAGGTAGGTAGGTTGCTAGGAAGGATGGAAGGAAGGAAGGAGAAAAGGAAGAAAAAGGAAAGGAAAATGGGGAGAAGAAAAGGAAGGAACGAGATAGGAAGAAGAAGAAAAGGAAGGAAGGAAAGGTAGATAGAGGTAGATATGCATAGGAACATAGATCTATAATAGATGATAGACCTTGAGATTAATTGCTTAAGGCCATCAATTGCTTGAGATGCCCTTGAAATAGTTTCTCAATATTGTATCATAAAAAAATAAAAAATAAAATGCCATCTGGGCATTTGGGCCTCCCTGGATGGAGGCTGAATGGCAGTTTTTTCACTATTTAATTATTAAATTTATTTGCCACCCCTCTTGCTTGGAAGCACCTCAATTGTAACCATGAGGACTAGCATTCCAGCTTGCCCTCCCCCCCCCCCACACAACACATCTGCCAACCTGGCTGAGGAATTCTGGGAGTTGAAGTCCGCAGGTCTTAAAAGCTGCCAAGGTTGGACACCCCCCCACCCCTCAATCTACAAGATTGCGTGGGGACGCAAAACCTGAGTTCCTTCAATGGTAATACAACTTGCAACCTTTAGTGTTGTTCGAACTTACAATGGCACCGAAAAAAAAGGGACTCAGCCATTTTAACACATGTAACGACCGTTGCAGCGTCCCTAAGGTCACGGGATCAAAACTCAGTGGCTTGGCAAGTGGTTCATGTTTATGATGGTCGCCGTGTCGCAAAGTCGACAGGGAAGACGGACTGCGTTATTAACTGAACAGCTGCAGGGATTCACTCAGCGGCTGTCGAACGGGGCCCCATTCAGTAAACTGATTCACTTACTGATGGAAACGTTGGACTCCACAGTGGTCATAAGTCAAGGACTACCTGTGAGTGAGTGGAAGATTCGTGCTTCCCCTTCACCTCCCCCCCACACTCATTCTTGCCCTTCCCTCCCCAGACGGAGCTCTTCAGCATCCTCCCCAGGTTCGGGTTCAAATTCCTCAGCGAGCTGCCACCGAAAGGCATTTCCAGAGAGGATGAGGCAGAAGGAGGACGGGAACCCATTGCGGTACGTGCCTCGGGCTTCTGACAGATGAATTGGGAGCAGAGTTTGGTTTGTTGGTGGTGGTGGGGATTCAGGTGGGCTCTTTGTCAGGGACAAAGAAATCCAGGAATGGGCACGTCTGTTCCTCTTGGCTTCTAGGGGCTCACTAAGAAAGGATTTTTCCAAATGACCATCAGAGCATTTAGAGTATTTCCTATATTATTATTATAACACACTCTGATGCTAAGGAGTTCTACTCCCCCTCCCCATCTGAAAAAAACAAATCTCTTCCAAATGCAAAACACAAGCAGAGGAGAGGAGTTTCAGTTTCACAGCAGCAAGTAGCTTTAGTATACAACAGTTGAGCTAAGCCATGCCTAGGCTCCTTGCTGTCTCCTTGCTCACCCAGCAAATACTCTTTCAGTTTCCAAACAGCCCTCAACTCTCTCACACACTGACAGGATGCTAGCCAGATGAATACGATAGATGCTGGTAGGCAGAGGCAGAATTTTCCCCCCTTATTTTCCTCCCCAAAAACTAAGCTCCACCGCATAGTTTCGTAGCGAAGCATGGGGATCGAGCTAGTAATGCAATAGAAGCAGATATTTTAGAAATAATGCAACATTGTTGACTTAACGGCCACCATAGGGGACCAGAATTCCCATTGCTAAGCAAGGTGGTTGTTCGAATGAGTTGGCACTGATTCTGTGGCTCGTTTGGCGACCTCTGTTCTAGTCCAGCCCCTAGGTCTCAAGTCAGGAGATCTTACACCATCTCAGACGAATGGCTGTCCAATCTTTGCTTGGAATCATCCAGCGATGGAGCATCCATAATTCCAGAAAGGAAGTTCTTCCATTCCTTCAATGTTCTGACAGACAGACAGGATATTATTTCTCCTTATTTCAAATTTGGACCCCTCCACTCCAAAACCTGTCCACCTGTTGGTTTGTGTCCTACCTTTGAAAGTTTTGGAGAATGAATCCACCCTGCCTTCCTTGGGATCGCCCTTCAATCATCCATGTTCCTTCTCTTCTTTAGGGTTTTTCAAAGTTGGCAACTTTGAAATGGGTAGACTTTGACTCCCAGAATTCCCTGGCACAAACACACTCCTTTTGACATGTACACCCATTGTGGCCTGCTTGCTCTCTTACAATCCCTTCCACTGCAATCTCTCTGCTTTAAAGGGATACAAGAAAAAGAAAAGAAAAATAGGCATTGTTGAGGTATTCCCTGTTAAGAGAATGAGTGCACTCAGGAAAACATAGTGAGAGTGGTGTTGAATAACACACAACCAGCATACAGATACACTGAATAGTAAAATGTAGGTTTTACTTCCAGTAAACGGGTAAACAAAGTCCAACAAACAGTCCAAATCATACACGGTTAAAGCAGGTAGTATTCAATACAATCAGTCCAGGGATAATCCAAAAACGAAGTCCAGTATCATAAACAAAGTTCAGTAAACGGAGTTTGCTAACAGTTGCAAGACTCACAGCAATCCAAGCAGAACGATGATAGGGAAAAGGCAATAGGGAAATGCAAGAAGAGAACAAACCAGGTTTCTGGCTCCATCTTATGGCCGTCGGAGGAACCTCAGCCAATCACAATTACAGCATTCTCTTAAAGATACAACAGTATTAAATGACTATCCTGGTTTATACTGTATATTGCCAACCCAACTGCATGGCTGACTGGCGAATTCTGGGAGTTGAAGCCCCCCCTCCCCATCTTAAAAGTTGCCAGGTCTGAAAAACACTGGGCTAAACTAAGCCTTTAGCACAGGGGGATCTTTTCTTTCTTTCCTTCGATCCACGAACGCCATTGATCTTGGAGATCTTTCCAGGTTGATCCGACAGCCCGCCTGACCTTCAATGTGCATCTCACGGAGGCCGACCACCAAGCCAGGGAATCGGTGCCTCTCCCGTACCACTTCAGTGAGGAAAAGGACTTTTTTCGTCCCTTTGTCGTTTCCTCTCACATATTTCATTTAAACATATATTAAAATTTATAGGCTGTCCAACTCGCTCCGCAAAAAACGTCTGGGGGTGGCTTAGAATATTTGGCAAGGAGAGAAGCCCCTGTTGAAGGAGAGAAGAAACCTACAAATACAAAATCTTAAATAGAGGGAAAACTTGGTTAAACGGAGCCCACTTGGCAGCTTTTGGGTGCAATGGACCAAGATTTAATTGGCACATTCCTTATATGGAGAACTATATTTTAAAAAAATATATTAAAATTCAGTTGGAACATTCCTTAAGAGCCAGTTTGGCCCAGTGGTGAAGGCACCAGTTAGAAAGCAGGAGAAGATGAGTTCTAGTTCTGCCTTAAGTTTGAAAGCTGGCAGGGTGCCTTTGAACCAATCACTAGGACATGTGAATTCTAGTTCTGCCTTCAGCATAAAAGCTGGTTGGGTGACTTTGGGCCAATAACCAGGAGATGGTGAGTTCTAGTCCCACCTTTGGCAGGAAAGCCAGCTGGGACAGTCCCCCTCTCAGCCCAACCCACTTCAGAGGGTGGTTGTTGTGGGGAAAAGAGGAGGAGGAGGAAGAAGGGCATGTTGGATATGTTTGCACCTTAAGTTATTTGTAAAAGTAATAACTAACATGAGCCCTAGTGGTGCAGTGGTGAGAGTGTAGTACTGCAGGCTACTTCTGCTGCCTGTCGGCTACCTGCAATTGGACAGATTGAATCTCACCAGGCTCAAGGTTGACAGACTTCCATCCTTCCAAGGTGGGTAAAACGAGGACCCAGATTGTTGGGGGCAATAGGCTGACTCTGTAAGCCACTTAGAGAGGGCTGGAAAGCTCTGTGAAGTGGTATATAAGTCTAAGGGCTATAGTTAAAGGCGTTATGCAAATCTATAAATAAAAAATAAAGTACCTCACACCTCTGTGAGGTTACGTCGAATGCATCTTGGTTCTTCCTCCCATTAGGAGTTGCTTGGTTAGTAAGATAGGCAGCACATCAATGTCATCACTAAGTAGAATGACAGAGAAACAGAGACGGAAGAAACCTTGGAGGTCATCTAGTCCAACCCCCTGCTCAAGCAGGAGACCCTAACATCTCAGACAAATGGCTGTCCAATCTCTTCTTAAGAACCTCAAGATTAGATAGATAGATAGATAGATAACTTTTCTTGAAATAGATCTTTTCTTGAAATTGATATAGATAAATAGACAGATCTTTTCTTGAAAGATATAGATGCTTTTTTGAAGTAGATAGATGAATGTTTTCCTGAAATAAATTGACAGAGACAGACAGACACATAGACAGATAGATAACAGGTAGGTAGGTAGGTAGGTAGGTACCATAGATCAGGGTTGGGACTAAAATATTTTAACCAGTTCTGTGGGCTTTGCTTAGGTGGTGGGCGTGGCTTGGTGGTCATGTGACTGGGTGGACATGGTTTGGTGGTCATGTTATTAGCTGGGTGTGGCCAACTAAAATATCACTCACATCAAGGCACGCATCTCCTCACCTGGCCTCTCATGACTGTGGGGATGCTGCAACAGCCATAAGTGTAAAAAATGGTCATAAGTCACTTTTTTCAGTGCCATTGTAACTTTGAATGGTCACTCCACACAAGCAAAGTACCAGCAAAGGAGGGGGAAAAAAAACTCCAGAAAAGTTCCAGAGACAGGAAGTCTAGTCCTGCCAAGAGTGTAATAAGGGTTAATGGAGAGGCAGTTTCTGTAAGCAACACCAGAATGTTTCCTTCCTGTCTTCCTTACAGGATTAGGCCAGTAATTTCTTCTAACAACCAGTTCTCCTAACTGCTTAGAATGTTAACAACTGGTTCTAGCGAATAGGTGCGAACTGGTAGAATCCCACCCCTGCCATAGATACTTTTCTTGAAATAGATCTTTTGTTGAAATCGATAGACAGATAAATAGATCTTTTATTGAAAGATAGGTATAGATGCTTTTCTTGACATAGATGGATCTTTTCTTGAAATAAATTGACCGACAGATAGACAGAGACAGAAAGACAGACACGTAGATAGATAACACGTAGGTAGGTAAATAGATGGGGTGGGGGGGGAGGTTAGATAGACCGTAGAATCAAAAGATTGGAAGGGACCTTGAAGGCTATCTAGTCCACCCCCCTGCTCAAGCAGGAGACCTTATAGCATTTCAGACAAATGGTTGTCCAATCCCTTCATGAAAACCTCCAGTTTTCATGAAGGAGCACCCACCACTTCCAGAGGATGGATGGATGAATAGATAAAGATGTGTGAAAGAGAGGGAGATGATAGACAGATAGACAAATACTATGTTCTCTGTGTGTGTGTGTGTGCTTTCTTCTCCCCTCCCAGGAAATCCTCTCTGCTGCAGACGTCGACAGAGGAAGGCAAAATCTACTGCGAACCGGACGCCACCGATGATTTTCATGATGAAGATCCCGATGACTTGGATGTGTGAAGGAGAAACAGGGGAGCTGATTTTTTCCCCAGATCTGGAACTGGAATCCTTTTACGTCTTCCTGGAGAGCTGCTTTCCTCTGCAATGCGGGAATGATGGCAGACAGAATCAGTCTGGGCGCTGGGAATGGACTGGCAGGGCAAATCGGAACCCGGGGCCATCCAAAGAGAGAGAAGAACAATCCAGATTTGCTGCTTCCTCTGGGAAAAAGGACAGGAGTAAGAAAGTGACCTGCAGGAAATTGGTTTGGATCCCTTTGCTGATGGCGGAGAGAGATTTGGTTTAACTGTCTTTTTGAGGAAGATTCCTAGCCAGACAGCCAATAAACTACCTGAGTGCCGACAGGACTGGCTCCATACGACTCTTAATGCAATAGAATAGAATCACAGAGCTGGAAGGGACCTTAGAGGTCTTCTAGTCCAGCCCCCTGCTCAAGCAAGAGATCCTATTCCATTCCAGAAAAATGGCTGTCCAGTCTCTTCTTCTTTTTTTTTTTTTTTACAATTGTATTGATTTTCAAAGACAGTACACAAACAAACAAAACATAAAATATAAAAACATAGAACATCTTTTCTGAAAGCTGCTTGATCCCGGGTTACAACTCTTCGTACAGACACAAATTCAAATTCATATTCATTTTATATACCATTCCATATCTTATTACCATTTTCAATTTTCTATATAACTTCTCACCTCTTTTAACTTTCTTAGTTTTATTTATCTCATCTCAGTTCAAATCATAATACTTATTATTCTTTGTCTGTTCTGTTTCCAGCTATCCATTTATCTTTTCTCTTTAAACAAAACTTCTCCTGTACACTGATTGGAGTATGACGCCTTTAACTCTTTCCCCTAAATTTATAATACTTAATATAATACATAACTTGCATTGGGATTCTGTTTAGTACATACTAAAATTACACAATGTTTTTTATAGAAAAAAAATTATAGGTATATGATGTAGTTAAAAACAACTATCAATGCCAATACAAATCTAATCATTAATATTAATATTCATTTATATCTTAAACACTTTACATGTTACTTTTCAATTAAATATCATACTTTTATGGGAACACTTATGCTTTCCATAGTTATCCCCCCCCCAGATCACATATTTTAAATCATTATTTCATTAAAATGTTCCCACTTCTACTTCAATTCTCTCATTTATTTCATTGCCTTCTTTTTCTTCACAAAAATTTCATTAAATTACACTAAATATTTTATCCCATTTTTGATTACATGTTGCTTCCAATTTCCTAACATTATTTCTGAATACAAATATAAAAATACAATCTTATGTACCTTTGCAGAATCCCTTTTTCAATTAAGTTTACCCATTGTCTCTAAAAGAATTTTGTTTCTTTACATCTTGTTCCCCACCATTGAGGCTTCTCATCCCTTCCTTTCTCCCTTGCTTATTCTTCTCCTTGTCCTTTTTACCCCCTTGTCTCTCCACCTCCCTTTTCTTCTTCTGCTTTCCCCCTTTCTGTTGTTTTCTAACATTGTATCCACTTTTCACCTTATTTTTCTCTTTTTTGGTTGTTTTTTCAAATCTTAAAGTCCCCTTTTTCTTTTCCTCTTTCTCCTTTCCTTCCCCAAATAGAGTCACTTGTTCATCAAAGATGGCTTCTTCTTTATCCCAGTCATCCTGTTGCGCAGTCAGCTTTTCATAAGTACAAACCGCCATTTCTAAAAATTGAAAAAGAGTGCCAAGAGAATCTTTCCCTTCTTGTTCTTCTTTTTTGTATTTTTTGTATTCAATTTTCAATTCATCCACAAGTGATGCCATTGTAGAGAGAAAAAGTTTTTCCAAAACAATCACCCAAGTGCTTTTAATCAAAGATAGTTCCCAAAAGTTCCAAAATCACCAAACAATCCAAATAAGCTGTTTCTTTTAGTACTTTCTTCTTTCTTCCCTTTCTCTTTCTGGGGTTACTGTTTAGTCACAAAGTTCCAGTTAAAATGTATCTTTTAGAAGTCTTGTTAATATTTAATAGCTCTTTAAAATTCTAGGCAATCTCCTCCTTACTTTCAAATTCTGCTCCAATTTTTTTTCCTCTCCCTTCCCACTTACAGCAAAAAAGGGTTTTTTTTAAAAAAAATGTTCAGAAATCCTTATCTCTTTAGCATTTAATTACCTCCAATGCGGGTTTTCCGATTTCTCTTGCGGTTCTATTCGCTGTCACGTTAGGAAGGAGAGTGAAAAGAGAAAAACTTTCCCTTTTAAACTTCCATTCGCCGCTTGTAAATTTCTGGAAACGATGTATCTTTGGCAAATTTTAAGTTCCAGGGTACTTTCGCTGTTACTTTATCCCGGTCAGCAAAAAACACTTTCACTTCTTCACAGCTCCTCCTGCGCTTTCTTTTTCCGGCTGAGCGCTTCTATGTGGCGGCCATTTCTGACCGCCGCTCAGCTGCCTTCGGAAAAGGGGGTTTAGCCGGCTAGGAAAGAGAGGTGCGATATCTCTTGACCCTGCCAGGTCCCCCCTGTCTTCGCCACCTTCTACGGAGGTGGCTAGCCCTGAAGCTGGGTGGCTCAGGGCACTCGGGCAGCGAGCACAGGCAGAAACCGCGCACAGTCGCGGATTCCTGCCTGCCCCGAAGCGCTGAAGACCGGAACTCCGCTGTCCAGTCTCTTCTTGAGAACCTCCAGTGATGGAGCACCCACAACTTCTGGTGGCAAGCAGTTCCACTGGTTAACTGTCCTCACTGTTTAGGAACTTTCTCCTTATTTCCTGGTTGCTTCTCTCCTTGGTTAGTATCCATCAGTTGTTTCTTGTCTTGTCCTCTGGTGCTTTGGATAATAGATTGACCCCCTCTTCTTCTTTGGGGCAGCCACTCAAATACTGAAATACATGCTACCATGTCACCCCTAATTCTTCTTTTCTATAGACAGGCCAGACCCAAATCCTTTTAAGTCGTCTTAGTGGGTCTTCTGTAAAGTTTAAAACAATAAGCCATCACTTTGTTGGTATCATTTCATGCATTTTAAAATTTTGCCTTGGAATATGTATTTTTTGCACAGATACTGGTGTGGGCAACTTAATTGACTGCATCTTTGGGGGGAAATAGAAACATCGGACTTAGAAGAATGTTTCTCAGGCTTGAGAACTCTTAAGATGGGTGGACTCCAACTCCCACAATTCCCCAGCCAGCATTTGCTGGCTGGGGAATTCTGGGAGTTGAAGTCCACCGGTCTTAAAAGTGGCCACAGTTTAGAAACACAGTTGTGTGCTCACTTTGAGGCAAATCTAGACAGCTTCCCTTATAGAAAAGAATATATATATAAATATATATATATATTTGTTTTCTTTAGTTTTCGCGGGTACTTACATGTATGGCATTCAGCTTTCTTCGGGTATTTTCCCACGTCATTATAGTTGTGCTTTTAAAGTTGTAGCAACGTTTCGGCAGAATCTCATCTGCCATCATCAGGCTTCTGTATTGTGTTCGTCTGTGAGTCAGGCTTTCACAGCTGTTTCTGTTTTAAATTTGGGGCTAGCCTACTGCTGTGCCAGAATGGTTTTTTCTTCATCCTGATTGGTTGGGAGTCTTGGTCTGTGTTTATTGGTCTTGGAGTTTGCTGTGTTCTGCTTGATTGGTGTTTCTAATATCTTCTGTCTGTTTT